CAGGGCACAACCAGCGAATCACGTTTTCCCAGGAACCGATGAAGCCTCAGAGGACCAATGGGAATTCTCACTTCTGCAGCATCATCGGTCTCCATGCAGAGTCTTCCTTGATTTCACCAATCACCAGATGGAGGAGAGAGTTTGGTGCAGAGAGAGAAGGGAGGGAGGGGGGATATTTTCAGTCCCATTTAAAGAAACACTGCGCTGCAGTTTGAAACTTGTGTGCGGTGTTTTCTTGTTATGTGCGTGGCTGCGCAGGTACGCAGCTTAGAGGGAACATTGCTGTAGGAAGTTGGATGGGAATTGCTGGAAGGAGAAAAAGACCCAATCAGGATCCTTCATGGGTTGCAGGACTCAGAAGGTCCCCCGTCCCTTGAATAGACCATAATAGGTTGGATGATCTTCTCTTAATAACCCTTCCAAGAACAGAAATTCTCCAAAATATGTATTTCTCAAGGAGACCCTCTTGGCTACCTGCTAAGATTGATGAGAGACCTCCCCTAGATGCTCCCTTCTCCACAACCTCTCCCCCAGCCCCCCCCCCCTCCGGACTCACTTCTCTTGCTCTTCAGGTAGGAGAAGAGCCCCCCACAGCCAGGAAGGCCACGCCTATCATAGCCCCAACGGTCCCTGTCCAGAGTTTGCTCCTGGTGGAGCTGGAGGAACAGGGCTCTGGGGAAGGAAAAGGAGCCTCCCCTGAGCAGGAGGATCAGGCCCACCTTCCCCCAGGAGGGTCCATTCTTGTTCTCCCCACAGTGATGTGTCTTTCCCCCTTCTCAGGGCAGGATGGGGTCCCCAGAACAGGAGGGGAGGGAGGGGAAGGGCTTACCCCACTGAATGGTGATGGGGGTCTCAAGACTGGCATGCTCCACCTTGCAAGTATAGAGCTCCCCCCAACTGGGTCTGGGTCTCCAGTATCACCTGGAGCTGGTAGGTCCAGTTTCTGTTCTGGAGCTCCTCCCCAAAAGCCACGCCCTCCTTCTCTGGCTGCCCGTTCTTCAGCCACTGGATCTCGATCTTCACGGGGTAAAAGCCCGTCGTGGTGCAGAGGAGGATGGTGTTGGGGGAAGCGGGTTCCATCTTGGTGGGGAGAGTACAAGTACAAGTACGACTCGTGCTTCTACTCTCACAAGTACAAGTCAGTTGCCAAGCATTTGGATTCTGATCATGTGACCCTGGGGATGCTGCAACGGTTGGAAGTGTGAGAAAAGGTCAAAAGTCATTGTTTTCACTGCTGTTGAAACCTTAAATAGTCACTAAGTGAACTGTTGTTAAGTCAAGGACTGGCTGTATTGAGCAGGAGAGAGAGAGAGAGAGGCCTGGCTGGATTCCCCTCCCCACACCTGAAATCATATTTGGGTGGATTTTCAGGAAGGGGAGATCAAAAGGATCCCAGCTTCCAGAGAGGAAGAGAGTTTGGACCCTGGGAAGAAGAAGAGGAGGATTTTGTAAATCTGAGAGGGCCAAATAAATAAGGAGGGAAACCTCCATGCGGGAGAATCCCAATGAACGGAATGAAAGAGGGAGAGTCCTGGCGTCCCCCTCCCAGGGAAGAACCCCCCCCCAGACTCAGCTCTCCAGGCAATCAGGTGCTCCTCCGCCTTGGGCGCCTCATAGCTATACACCCCAGTTGTATAGTTGTACCAGCAGAGGTAATGCGCTCCGGCCTTCTGGTACTGAAGGAGCTGCTGATTCCTGTTCCAATTGTCCGCATCCACCTTCCCAAACTCCGTGACGGCCACGAACTTCCCGAGGTCGCTGCCGAAGCGGAGAAACTCCTGCCGGTCGTAGAAGTGCCTGTCCAGGTATCTCACCCGCTGGGTCCCCTTGAGGAAGCGGCACTCGCACTTCTTCTGGTGCAGGAAATGGACTGTGAGGGGCAGGAGGAGTACTGTGAGGAAGGACTCCAGGGCCCATCGTTCCCAACCAGTAAGGAAAGAGGGATTTAATCAGTAAGGGGATGGACGGAACTTTCTAGACTGGAGGGAAAGTAATATCCATACCCCCAACTCACAATATGGGGAGGGGGCACAATGAGGACATCTCGGCAGACACTCCTGGGGTCTCCCAGACCTTCAGTCTTCACCTTCCCTGGGTCTCCCCAACTTTTCTTCTTCCCCCGAATCTTCTTCCCTTTGGATGACTAGTGAGGATCAGACCTGTTTCCTATCCCCCTCCCCCAAAAGACCCCCTGCAGTCCCCCAGAAGAGCCTCTCGAAGGAGAGTCTCCAGTCTCCTTCCCAAAGGAGAGTTTTAGAGAGCCAACTGAGGGGAGGAACTCAGAGCCCCCAACATCCTCTTCCCTCAATTGNTGCACCAAAGGCAAATTCCTTGTGTGTTCCAATCACACTTGGCCAATAAAGAATTCTAATTCTATTCTATTCTCACTACCTTCCCCCATCCCCAAATGCCTCCTTTGGCTCAAGAGGGGGGGAAAAGGCTTGGACTCTTGAATTTTGCTGTCTCCCCAACCCCCCCTATTTATTTCCTTCCTCCCGCTCCCTCTCTAATCCCTTTCCTCTCTAGGCAAGGAGAACTCTCTCAGTTCAAAGACCACCGTGCCAGAAGAATGGAGCCACCGAGATGAAATGGCTAGAGAGGAGGGATAAGGGGGGGTGGTGGATAATAAATCAAAGGGATGCGGGGGGGAGTGTCTCTTCCTGTCCAGCCCACTAGCAAAGTATTAAAGCAAAGTGAGCCTTGGCTTTGGCTGCAACAGAGAAGGCGGACCTGTAAGTCCAGGGCGGGCAGAGCGGGAGCGTGCATGGAACTATAATGCAAATTTAGCAACACGGAAAGTTTGTTTGATTGTCTGGTCGATTGTGATTGATTGATGTTCCCTCCCAGTTCTCCAGAGTTGCTTTGCAATGCATGAGGATTGGGGCAGGTTCGTTGTTCGGCACCACGTGCATGAAGACAGCAGCAGCCTCGGGGAATTCCCTTTGAAATGGTGGCTAACCAAGTTGCTAGTCCTTATGGATGGGAATCTCGGTTCAAGGGGGCGTGCACAACGCTCTGCAGCTGAGGAGCGTGTTTACGTGTGGCTGGCTTTGATGGGGTTTCACCGTTGTTTTCCATCCCCTTGCTGGGATATTGTAGGTTTTTTTTTAATAGTTCCTTCTGCAGGTTATACTTGGAGGAACTTGGTGCAAAATATAAGGGCACGCTGAATTCAACTTACTACCAATTGTTCCGTCACTGTTCCAAGTTACCAAGTGACTCATTATCATTTTTCACACGACCATTGCCGCATCTCAGTGGACAAGTGATGAAAATTCAAACACTTGGGAACTGACTCACATTTATGACGATGTCAGTGTCCCCGGGGAATCACATAATCCCCTTTTGCAACCTTCTGAAAAGCAAAGTCCACAGGGAAACTGGATTCACTTCAAAACCATCAACTTACTAACTTAACTGTAGGGATTCACTTAACAACTGTGGCAAGAGAGGTCGTAAAATGGGGCAAAAGTCACTTAGCAACTGTTTTTGCTTAACAACAGTATTTTTGGGCTCAATTGTGGTTGTAAATCGAGGATTACCTGTAATTGCTATTTATATATTTTGAGTTTCTAAACATTCATAGTGGGATTTTCCCCTAGCCCAGTGGGTCTCAACCTTCCTAATGTCACGACCCTTTAATACAGTTCCTCATGTTGTGGTGACCCCCAGCCATAAAATTATTTTATGTTTTCCGTGAAAATATGTGTTTTCCGATGGTCTTAGGTGACCCCTGTGAAAGGGTCGTTCGACCCCCAAATGGGTCCCGACCCACAAATTGAGAATCACTCTACATGGGGCAGCCCTTGAAGAGCATTCGGAGACTTCAGCTTGTCCAGAATGCAGCCGCGCGAGTGATCGTGGGTGCACCTCGGTTCACCCACGTAACACCTATCCTCCGCGAGCTGCACTGGCTGCCTATTGGTCTTCGGATACGCTTCAAGGTGCTAGTCGTCACTTATAAAGCCCTTCATGGTATTGGACCTGGGTACTTGAGAGACCGCCTGCTGCCAATTACCTCCAACAGACTGATTAGATCCCACAGATTAGGCCTCCTCCGAATTCCATCCGCCGGCCAATGCCGACTGGCGACTACCTGGAGGAGAGCCTTCTCTGTGGCTGCTCCGACCCTCTGGAACGACCTCCCCGTGGAGATTCGAACCCTCACCACCCTCCAGGCCTTCCGCAAAGCCCTTAAAACCTGATTATTCCGGCAGGCCTGGGGCTAAAGAGCTTCTGCCCCCCCTTCTCGAATGGTATGGTTGTTGTGTGTTTTAAATTGTGTATTGTTTGTTTGTCTTTGTTATCCCCTGTTTGTACCTCCTTTCCCTTGACTGAGTTGTGAGCCGCCCTGAGTCCCCTTTGGGGAAAAGGGCGGCATATAAATGAAATAAATCCTAATCCTAATCCACTCACTTAGCCCAATGTGAGTTTTTGTTGCAAATATACTTTTAAGCTTGTGTGAATCTATGAATCTCAGGGAATCGTCCCAGGTTTCTTACAGGGATGATCCTATTTGGGCTCTGATTCTCCTAGTGATCAGCACCCGACATTCCTATTGGAAGCGACTTAAAGAAATCCATCCTAGGATTAAAATGAAGCTGCAGATGCAAACCTCACCATGTTAAAAACAATATTAATCTCCTCTGTGGATTTCGCTTGGAGAAAAAAAATTGCATTAAAAAGTGCAAAGAAGAGCAACTAAGATGATTAAAAGCCTGTAGACTAAAACATAGGAAGAATATTTGCAGAATATTGAAGAATATTCAGGTTTGGCTAGTCTAGAGAAAAGAAGGACTAGTAAGGATATGATAGCAGCAGTCCAGTATTTAAGAGATTGCCACAAGAAAGAGAGGGTTAATTTATTTTCCAAAGCACCTGAAGGCAGGACAGGAAACAATGGATGGAAACTAATCAAGGAGAGAAGCAACCTGGAATGAAGGAGAAACTTCCTAACAGTGAGGACAATTAACCAGTGGAACAGCTTGCCTCCAGAAGTTGTGGGAGCTCCATCACTGGAAGGTTTTTAAGAAGAGATTGACTGGACAGTTATTTATGTTGGGCCTGCAATTATATTCCTTTTAGAATTTTGGCCTGCCACACTTTCTCTTATTTCAATATGGTGTTTCATTAGTATAGTCGATGGGAGGGGGGAATAGATAGGAGTAGGATTGTGGAATGTATTGTTTTCATTCTTTACTAGAAGCCAAGGTCATCTTTTGTCTCTGCACTTTTACACCTGACCGGAAGCAGCTGGGTGGAGATGCCAGCGTGAAAGAAGAAGATTGGACCATGTGATGGATTGTGGGTGTGGGGACAAGATCATGAACTTTTAACTGGGTGGGATTCTGATGTAATTTCCAGAATTGGGACTAACACAGATGTGCTAAGACGTCTGCTTTATTAAATTGGAACTTTAAGGATCATTTTGCCTTTGGACTCTGATTTAATTCTACATGATACTTGGAACGCTGACAATTTATCTGAAATTGAATAGGGCAGTATGGAGAATCTTTTCGACAAAAAGGGAGCCCTTCGCGTGCGCTCATTTGGGCCACGACTAGGAAGAGGAGCTGCCCAGGGGGCATGTGCACAGCAGAAAATGAACTTCTGGTTTCCGGCGTACACATGTGCGCCGTCCAGCAAGTCTTCCAGTTTCTGGCGTGCATGCCAATCCGCTGAAAACAGAAGACCAGCTCTTCCGGTTTCTGGCATTGCCGATGTGCAAACTACAGCTGATCGTCGTGTTGACATGCGTGACCGGAACCTGAAAGAGGAACGGGTGATGCCACAGAGGCCAGGTGACATGGCCCATGTGCCACTTTGGGCCCAAGGGCCATAGGTTTGCCATTACAGGTATAGGGTCTCCTACAGGAACAGAGCGCTGGGCTGGAAGATCTTCAAGGTCCCTTCCAGCTCTCTCCTGATTCTGATATGTTAGAACGGTGTTTCTCCACTTTCGCAACTTCAAGATGTGTGGATTTCAACTCCCAGAATTCCCCAGCCATCTTCAAGTTGCCGGTGTTGAGAAACACTGTGTCATGTTTCATGGATCATGGAGTGGAAGCGCGAAACAAATCTATAGCATCTCCCTTCCCAGAGGCAGCAAAAGATGTTGAAAAGACACAGAAGTGATCTTACAAGAGAAAAGGCAGCAATTTGGGGACCTTAAACTTATTGCTTTATTTCTTTTCCTCCTAACAGAAACATTACTTGGTGGAAGAAAAATAAATCCCGATCTGTGCCTTGGTCCACCCATCCAAAATCACAAAGAACTCGCTGAATTTCTTCAGTATCTTTTTTTCCCCATCAGGCCAAATTCTGCAGTCCAGACCCTTTGTCCACTTGGTAACCAGCTCTAGGAAAGAAAATGTCCACCAAGCAGAACAAGAGGTCAGCGCCACATTCAGAGCGCAAGGTGACAACCGCCATCAAAACGGAGAAACAAGAATGGCCTGGAATTCAGTCTTCCAGCAGGGAAGCGGACTTCCCTCGAGTCTTGCAGGTGGGGACCATCGGGGAGTACCTGAAAAAGAACCCACCCCAGGAACCGGAGAAGGGGCTGTCCGGATGCTGGGAGGCTCAATGGCAGGCATTCCTGCACACCATGCAATCCTCACGTTCCGGGTGGGGAAATGTGGAGCCACCGGTGGCCATGCCACGAGACAATATTCCCGATTTTTCCCCCTCTGTGGAGCAAGAGGGCTGCCCAGCAGCCAAGGAGCAGAGGGCGAGGCAGTCATCCCAGCCTGCTGGGAAGAAGGCAGAGTCCCGTAGCCGGGAGAGCGATGGAGACAGCAGGAAGTTTATGAAAAAAAGACAGGAAGCTCTGAAGGAGGAAGCAGGAAGTGCGGAATTAGAACGCCAGCACTTCCGCCAGTTCCGCTACCAGGAAGCTGAGGGTCCCCGCGAGGCTCTTTGCCGACTAGGTTACCTTTGCCGCCAGTGGCTGAAGCCGGAGAAGCACACCAAAGAGCATATCGTGGATCTGTTGATCCTGGAGCACTTCCTGACCATCCTGCCCCCCGAGATGCAGAGCTGGGTGAAGAGGAGGCACCCCGAGACTTGTTCCCAAGCAGCCGCCCTGGCCGAGGAGTTCCTGCTGAAGCAGCAGGAAAATAAGAGGCAGATGCAGACGGTAAGAGCTGAAACTCCGGTCGCAGCAAACCAGGGAGAGGTCGGTAAAAAGCGGAGAAAGATTTTGTGTGGGTAGTCCTCAACTTACAACAGTTTCGTTTAGTGACCAGTTGAAACTACAGAGCCGTGTTACAAGTGCCTTAGGACCATTGTTCACATGACAGCATTCCCAGGGTCACATGATCAAAACCCGGGTGGTTGGCAACTGACTCATTCTTACGACAGTGTCCTGGGGTCATGTGATCCCCTTTTGCGATAAGCAGA